CTGCGCACAACGAAGCGAGGGCCGCCATGAGCAACGGCGCCACACAACATACTACGCAACTTATACAACTGTAGGCCAGGGTTGCCAACCAGAGGGTAGTCACCCTACTTGTACACGGTATTTTCGGATTTTTTTTCAGCCAGCGTAGTATGGGGCGGTGTTGTAGGGTAATTTCAAAATTCAACTCGTCATTGGTCTATGAAAATGTAGAAGATCCACGCGACATATCCGGATGTACTACATTGCTGGAGAGATTCGGATTGAAACTGTCTTAATAGGTGGATAACAAAAGGGCGCGTCGTCTGCTACGACACTTCCGGTTCGAGGCCCATCCCTTCGCTGCTTCAATGTGCCTGTTGCACGGTGTAATCGGGGAGAAAACACGCGCAATTTTGTGACCCGTTTGTGACCGCTTGTTCAGTGGTTGCGTTTGTGATTTTTTTTTTTTTTTTGCGAATCAATAGATGATCTTTCGCGCATTTCAGAGAATGAAGTGAGTAGTGGAAATGGGCAAACGCGAAGAACGGTAAGAGGCGACTTTCGAGCGCAGCATGCGGTTATACTTTGAAACGTGCTGTAATCTTTCGCAGATCCGCCTCGATTCAGTATTTTCGACCACAAATGCTAACGCGTATACTCTGACCGATCAAGTACGACGATATAGTGTATTTGCAGCACATTCTGCATTGCCAACTGTCCGTAATATTTATGGAAACAGCTGAGCGCGTAAAAGGCCCACGGGACAAAATGGCCGCTGGGACCGAAGTCGCACGTGAAGCAACGAATATAGCACGAAATGGCATTTCTATTATGTCAGACTTGCAGGCTGGAAGTGCCCATAGGTTGTGTTACGTATGTTGAGTGCGGGTGTTTCGCGTGCATTGCATTGAAACACAATGTTCGAGAGTGTGAAGGAACGACATCTCGTGAGATGGAGAGGCGTAAAAAAAGAAAAAAAAAAGCCCGGAAAACTAGAAGCGCGCATTTAAGTTTTTGCTTGGAAACAATTTACTATTGTCCTTCGCTGTATCGAACCCGGGATGGTATCTTTGCAAGACAAAAATAAATAATTTTACGAGTGACCTACAAGAAATCAAGTGTGCGGACATTTTGTGAGGTTGTAAGGTGCAGAGAAAAAAACATTGCGTGTGACAAAACATGCGGGACAACACCCTTTGCTTCCAAACAACAACCATGTGTCCGGAAGCGCATGCCACATTAATGAAGATAAGACTGCTAGCACGATTATAACTATCTCGTAGTGACGACCCATTTCTTATTCATTTAAAGTGCATAGCACTCCCAATTTGTGGGAAAAGTGCACCGCAAGTGCGGCGTTGAACACACAGAGCGGCGGCACGGCACTTGTAACAAGAAGTCAATGCAGACTATCGCCATAGCCCAGAATCCTTTGCGTGAGCCCCGATTTTGCAATACACCTATTCCAATGTCACCAGCACAAAAGACGAAAAGTAATACGTCAAACATCCTTGAGCTTTTTTTTTTTTTTTTTTGTTCTCTCTTCGGGGATGTCGTATTTCATTTCTGTCAATTCCCATCTGTGGGTCGCGCAGAGGGGCGACGGTGGTCGGCTTCAGTAATCAAAGCGAAAGCTTTAAATGCCCCGTCATACCCGAAAAGTGACGGTCGGCAAAAACGCGAGGGTTGCAAACAATCGTCACGATGTAACGACGGAGGCCAGCTCATGATGTCACTGTGGCGTGAAATACCACCAATGGTCGAACGATGGCGTCATCACTTGACATTGTCGCACGGTCTTAGGTGGGGCGATCCACCCCATGCCGTCTGAACGTCGTAATTGTACGTTATTTGTACTTTATCATCTTTACACGGCGCTGTTTCGAGGTGTAAGATAAAACGTATCGGCACTACAAGAGGTGTGCAGGGTATAGGTACAGTAATTTTGACCTTGGCGTAGGGTATTTTCCAAAAATTTATTGGCAACACTGCTGTGGACTCTTTATGTAATATCGGTCTGTATGCAGTGAACTTGATTCACAATGTTTAACTACATAAACATATCGCCATCACGAGTAGGTTCCCCGTGTACTCCGATTTGGGTGCACGCTAAAGAACCCCAGGTGGTCGAAATTTCCGGAGCCCTCCACTACGGCGTCTTCATAATCATATGGTGTTTTTGGGACGTTAAACCCCACAAATCTAATCTAATCTAATCACGAGTAGGTTCTGTTTGAACTTCTCATTTGCGATCAAAGAACGACTACATTGTAGTTGGCGGAGCATGTTGAACAAGAATATTACACAATTTCCTGTGTTAGAAGTGAAGAAACTAACCGCGCTGTGTAGTGCGGAGCACAATTCGGAGCCGCAGTCGTTCGCGCAGACATCATAAATAGCGTACGAGAAGCGGCACGGCTTGGTGCTGACCTGTGGCCGTATAGACAAACGAAAAAGCGGTATCCCGAAACACTCCGGCGTACATCGAGAGGCCAACTGCAAAGGTGGGTCCCGACCAGATGCAGCTGTGCACCGAACCGATCTCCGGCGCACGTTTCAGGTATAGACTTCCGCGCCGCCATCACTTCGGTTAGCGGCTCGAGTCGCTAATCCACCGCTCGGACAAGCGACGAGGCGTGAGAGGCTGCAGTGCGCGCCGCCTGCCGACTCACTCGGCAGCTGGTCGCGATCGGGGTCACTCTCCGAGCACGCGCAGCCGGCGCGCAAGCACGAAAAAAAAAATTAACAAAGACGGAAAGCGGCAAATAAATAGATACAACCAAAAGCGCCCCCCCCCCTCTCACCCCGGTTCTCCGAACCCCGCGTCAGAGTCGCGTGCTTTCTCTCGCGCGAGCCCCATCGACGGATTACAAAGGCCATTTTGTAGTCCACATAGCAAGCAGCTGCCGCTATACAGAACCGACCGGTATAGGCGACAAACCCGACGAAAGTGGCAGCCAGAAAGAAAAAAAAAATCACACAAAGGCTGCTTCCGAACGCCAAAAATTATGAGCTCTTTCGACAACACGTAAGAAAAAGCGCAACTACTAAGCGTCGTACATTTCCGACTCGGCATCGCAATTTCTCAACGCGATATTTACAAATATCCCATCGTGACACTCTCAATTAAGACGGTGCACAATCGAGGAGCTTACTAAGGGTGAAATATATGTAATATCTACTGTCACCCGCCACTGAGACGTGCCTTGCAGTCCAGCAGACCAAGTTTGGGTGCGGACCCCTGTTCGTTGTCGTGGCCTCTCGGAAAAGTTGCTAAGCTGGTACTGTGGACCCTGTAAGATGCTGCGCCACGTGAGTTACGTGAACTACGAGGTAGTTCCGGACAGTGGGTCGTCAACTCAAACGAAACGAAGACAACCAAGCTCATGTCATGCGCATTAAACCTTATTTTTCGCGTTCATAATTTCTCCTGCCAATCGTTTTCCTTTTTTTTTCATGAGACTAAACTTTCATTGACTGTTTGAGTTTAACCTTTCGTCATGCTTACGCTATCGTGCTGCGCAATCTGTTTACTTTTTTTGTCTTACACCTATACCTTGCCGCATCGAGGCGTTGCTGTTTCTCACAGAGGAGGGAATAATGTCACCCCTAGTCTATGGTGGGTGACATGCTAATGCAGGGGACACAAAAAGAAGTGCACGTGCTTTCCGTCTCTCCTCGAGTGCACGGCCGAGCGACGCGTCTGGCAAGAGTCCTGCTGTTCTACCCCTACGTCCAATAAACATCACCACCTGGACTTCCAAAGGGACGTGACAATACGTAATTGATGTCACGAATAAGAAGAGAGCGAGAGGTTGCTTCCTCTCCCTCCCCGTCTCCCGCGCCGAACATAAAAGAGAACAAAGATCGCCCGGAGTCGACGGCGTCTCCGGGCGAACGCCGCTTTATTGCAGGGAGCAGGAACAGTCACGGGCGCGCTTCTTCGGTCTGTTTTCGCCGAAACCCATCCGCGCCTTTTCGACGAGGGCAATTGGCTTCCTTCGTTCGGCTCGCTTCTAATGGCTTCGCCGCAGGGAAGCTTGTAACGGTAAATTCCCGGGATGGCGAGGGCGGTCGGGGTGCCTCGAAGGAGCGCCTCTTCGCGCGCCTCCCATCGGACACCTGGGGCGCCCCTCCTCTCACCCGCCACCAGATGTCGGAAACAACGGTCCTCCGGCAGCATTGAAGCCATAGGGATATAGCACCCCGTTCAGAAAGATCGCAATGCTTCCTGCTCTGTAAAGGTTGATGCAGAAACGCTCGAGGACAACGACTGGCGTTCACTTCGTTCAAGTGGCCAGAACTTCATCACGCACAACTATGGAGGGACCCTCTGAATGTAGTCGTTTCATCGTGAGTTACAATAAGGTAACTCACCGCTTTCGCGTAAGTCTGCAGCAAAGACAACCAGCCGCAGTGCTCTGACGCTCGACTGCTGTTTCGAGGGTCGCGGGATCGAATTGCAACTGCGGCGGCCGCATTTGCATGGAGGCAAAAGGTCCATTCGATTCGCCTGCACCACGTGAACCAGTTCACGAGGTGCTGCACCTTGCCATTCGTTTCAGCGGTACAGCATTGACGACCGCTGAACCCTGTCATTCGTTTCGAAAAGAGCAGAAGAGGTGCAGCACCGGTTCAAGATTTTCCTGCACCTCCTTCGCTGACGGTGCCGGCTTGGTGCAGGCGTGCGTGCAGCTGAGCAGACGACGCAGCACTTAGACGTAGGTGGCTTAGGCGCCGTGCCCGCCTCTACAAACGCGCTGTGTATTTTCAAGATCTTTGCGCCTCAAACTGTCCGCATGTGCGTTTCGCCATAGGTCAGTGTTTGCTGAACGGTGTAAATTAACCGAAAAGAAATGAGGCCAACACCTGGTCGGCACATCGTCATTTGTTTCGGGTGTCGTGCTGTGCCTACACCACTGAACTCACGCTGCACAATTTCTGAACTTCGCGTGCACAGCCGCGAACCGGTTCCGACCGGTGCAGGTGAATCGAACGGACCTTAAATGTTAGAGAAGCAC